ACATGGATTCTGGCATCTGGAAAGGATCTAAAGCTGGTAGAAGTGGCCCTGTTTTTTCCCACTTATTTTTTGCTGATGATGTAATTTTTGTAGGAAAGGCCACCCTTGAAAATTGTAACTATTTAGTTTCTCTTCTTGACTTTTTTTGTTCCAGGTCAGGCCAAAATATCAACCATAATAAGTCTCGAGTATTGTTTTCCACTAATGTGGAACCTCACACTCGCAACTTATTATGTAATATCCTTGGAGTGGCCGAAACGAATGATTTGGGAAAATATCTGGGCATTCCCATCTCCCCTAAGAAACTCAAGAAGAACCAATGCCAATTCATTATTGATAAAGTTCGCAGTAAACTTGCTAATTGGAAAACTAATTTTTTATCCTTTGCAGGACGTGTTACTCTAACCAGGGCTGTTCTTGATTCTGTTCCTAGCTATTACATGTAGTCATCCCTTCTCCCTGTTTCTGTTCACTCGGAGTTAGACCAACTCTCTAGAAACTTTATTTGGGGATCAGATGAACAACACAGGAAGATTCACCTTATTAAGTGGGATACAGTTTGCCAACCTAGACATCTTGGAGGTCTGGGATTAAAAAAGTCTCGGGATGCAAACATTGTGGCTATGTGCAAGCTCAATTGGCGTTTGCACTTTGAGAAAAGCAACACTTGGAGTAAATTGTTTTGTCGAAAGTATTCTATTGTTAACCCTCGTGATCCTCTTCCTAATCATGGATCCCCTACACTCCAAGCCATGAAAGAAGGTCGTAGCCTATTCCAAAGAGGTTTAAGATGGATTCCTCGTAATGGAAATTCTATTTTCTTTTGGAATGATTGTTGGGTTGGAAACCAACCCCTCTCTAAGGTTTTTTATGGGCCACACCTTCCTTCATTAGATTCCCTTCTTCTTGCTGATGTTTTGTTGGATGGCTCAACAAGTGGCATTGCTTATCACCTCCCGCAAGAACTCTTGGCTCAAATGCAGGCTATTCCTATTGCTACCAATACTACACTTGAAGATAACTTCTCTTGGATTGGTAGTAGTAATGGTAACTTCTCACCTTCCTCTGCTCTTTGTCTACTACGTGATCTTCCTACCACCAAAGACTGCACCTAGAGTTGGATTTGGAAGGTTGTTACCCTCCCTAAAATCCAATTCTTCATTTGGTTGCTATCTCATTGTCGTCTTAAATCGTTGGCTTTCCTTCATCGCCTTAATATCTCTCCTTCACCGAATTGTCCTAGATGTCATGATGCTGAGGAGACCATTGATCACATTTTTAGAGGATGCCCACTCTCTATCCACCTGTGGAACCTCCTTCTTCTTGGTGCTATAGTTCCTGGAGAGTATTCCACCTTCACTTCATGGTTAAAAGCTAACTTGGTCTCTACTGTTATATCCCCTGTCTTTTCTATTCCTTGGGGAACCTTTTTCTCCTTTATTATTTGGGGAATTTGGCTCTTTAGAAACCAAGTTTTGTACAAGGACGTTAATACCTCACTCCAGTCCTGGTCCACGTCTATTACCTTTAGAGCAATTGACTTTTGGAGCTCCATCCCTCCCCCTGTTGCTATGAAGACTAGAACTCAAGGCCTCTTTGCTTG